TACAAAACCTGTGATTTTCCGGAACTAAAAAACCGGATTTTTTCCTGATTTTTGTTTTTTATTTTTTTTTACAGGGTGGAAAGGAAAAGAGATTTGTATAAATACTTGGAATATATCTTTAGCTAATTCAGAAAGTGATATTTCAATACCTGTAGTTGTGGAAGAAGTAAAAAAGAAAAAATCTAAGCTTGAATCTGTTCGTATTTTTGATCAACATCTTGTTAGTAAAAATTCAATAAAAAAGATAGATGAAATTTCAGAAGCAAAAGAAACTATATCACCTGAAATCACGCGAGAAACTGAAGATTCTTTAGAACTCTTTAAAAGAACGCAAAAAAATGCTAAAAAAAGTAGAGCAGTTGTGCATGCTGATATTTTTAAACTATCTACTCTTAATTCGAAAGTATAGAATCGATTTCTTCTTTATACTGATTACACAAATCATTATAATATCCAATAAATTCTGAATTGATTTGAACACTAGTAAATAGTGCTTTTCAAGTTTCTTTATATTGATAGTCATACTTTCACAATTTACGCATTTTTTTTTATTGCAGAGCAATGGCTCTTTGAGCCTATCTCTGACACCTGTAATTTTTCTGTATTAAATGCATTGCGTGATTCTTTGTGAGTAGAAAGAGGAATTGTAATAGTCTTTCCATTGTGTGTTGCTATAAATTTCTCTTTTACTATAGGATCCCATCTGATATGATGTTGTCATTTTGTACCAAGTATCATTATATACAATGTATATATCTTTTCCATTTTGATCCTTTTTTGTGGAAATTACAGATATTTCTTTTTTAGAACTGTTATAGAATCTTTTTCACTATCTATAGATATAGGAATGTTATATGAAGAAGTATCAACAGATTGAGAATCTCCAACCGCACCTGTAAGTTTGTGAACATTTTTCTTATCTATTTTTATCTCTAAATATTCAGGAATGTTATCTATAAACAATGAATCATCTGCATTAGTATCTAAAATTGTGTGAGGTATTATCAAGTCACCTATTCTACAAGAAATCGTTGCCACATCACTAGATTCTTTTATATCGAGAAAATCAATCTCAAAAGGGTTAGGCCAATTTTGTCTTATTTGTGCTCCTTGGTATACTTTAATGGCGTGATTTAATGTAATGAAATTGTCAAGTTTTTCTGGTTGAGATATAAGCTCATAATCGTGATTCGTTTCTTTGGGACTCAAAGAGTTTGGAGTCTGATTCTTAATAATTTCAATAAGTGGTTGAAAAATAGTTAGATATTTTTTCGCAATAATCTCTAATACCTTATTTCTTTCTTTGATTGTATAATTTTCATCATAATATGAATCAAACTGATTCTTTATCTTTATAAACAGATTATTAAGAAATACACGAGCTTCAATAAGAATCTCCTTAGGATAATAGGGTATTAATTCAGATATCATCTATTTAAGAGATTCAAGAAATACTTCCTGTTCCAAAATAATGATCGATTTTTTCTTAGTAGAAGGCTTCTTCTTTACAGGAATCTGACTTTTTTTTTACATTGAAACATGATTGCAGTTCATTATCAGAGGTGATTTCTTTTTTCTCCTCTGAATTTGAGTTATCTTTCAATATCACCACCTCCTCATCATCTGAATTTTCTGATTCGCTCTGATAAATATTGTTAACTTTTTTAGGTTTCTTAACAAGATGAGGACACTTATTTTTTCTATGTCCAATTTTTCCGCAATTTGAGCATTTGTATATAACTTTAGTTAGTTTCTTTGGTTTCTTTGTAGTATATATTTTCTTAGCACTATAAGTACTAGCTCTGGTATTTACTCTGGTACTAGTCTCATTAACTTGACCAAAAGGCTCTTTTCTGAAATTATAATTTGCATGTCCTAATCTGCTATATAATTCATCATTGATAAATTGATTTAAAGCATCAGAATTTCGTGATACTTCATCTGAGTAACCTAATCTTTCAGCAATACTTTCTAAATAATCTTGCGCTTTATATGCCATGATATTAGTTCTGCTATTATTAACTTTTTGTGATAAAGATTGATATGGGATAGGAGATGAATTAGTTACAATAACGGGTAAATTTCTATTTTCATATATGTAAAAGTAGAAGATTGACACTTAAGCCAGATATTTTTTAGATTGGTAAAGAATGCATCTATATCTGCTGGAGCTGCATTTTCCATTCTTGAAAAAAGCTCATCTAATAAGTGATTCCATAAGATTGTCAATGTATCAGCATTATTATTTGGTGTTTGTAATAATAAAAGTTAAATTCTTTCTTCATAAATTTCTGGAATATCCGTAGGTAAGAATTTTTTCTTGCGTTAATTTTGTTAAAGATGCTTGCCTAGTTCCTACAGTTAATTCATGATATTTATATCTAAACCAAGTCCTGAATAAAGCGAGAATATCAATATTCGTACCAGCAGGATGTTGTGCAGGAACTGGGACATATTTCCTACCATTTTCAATTTATAGATATCTGCCTTATGGCATCAGTAAAAGTATTAGCATTTGCATTATTGGCATCAGCTATCATTGTATCAGCAAAATAAATTGCTTGTTGAATCCTATTACAATAGTCATCTGGTGGTTCTTGTCCTATGTAATTAGGAATATGTGCGAGACTTGTTTGAATAGTTTGATATATGTTGTCTAAAAGCAGCAGCCATATTGGATGAATTTGCTAATGGATTATTTTGTAAAGCAAAAATTTGTTGATGTAAATTAATAATTGTTTGCCAGATGTCATGAATTTTATTTTTTCATTTTTCATATCTTACTATAAGTTGATCTCGCCAATACTCTAATATTGTTCCATGATTATGACATTATTGCAACTGTTGTTCCAATTGCTGAATTGCTTGTCTATTCAAGAGCTGTATTGCAAACTGTTCATATAATAATGTACTAATGTGCTTGTCTTTTCAGATTTTGATAAAGATAGCATTTAACTTCCAAAAATTGCAAGAGCTTTCTATATCCCGTAGGATATCACGCTCTTGTGTAAGCCTACGATTATGATTTTGCAGAGTAATATCATCCTGGATGAGCTGGTTAATATAATTTTGCTGAAGTATATCAAGTTGTCTATATCTATTAACATCTTGTTGTAACCGCACTATTTGATTGTCTCGATCATCTCGTTCAGCGATGATGCCATTAATATCCTGGTACACATTTTGATAATTATGTCAGACAGTATTTAAAGAACTACGGACCCCTTCGATAATTCTGATAGGATTATTTAGTGACATACAGCTGTCACGATCAGGCTCCTGGTAGGTATTATCGTGATGTAGGTGTTCAATCAACGTTTAATAACAGTATTTTTACAGTTACTCAATCTCGTTGTAATTAGTATACTTCAGGATCATTACGCAGTGCATTTTCTTCTATCTTATAGATAAACTCTCACTATTACTAATAAATGTTATGTTTACTTAGTGTGGAATAGTCCTATAGCAATACAGTATTGATATTCTATAGCAACTTTGACGGTTATTTAATAGTGTGTAATAAATGCAAATATTTTAATAAGTTATTATTTTTAATCAATTAAATGTACAAATTTCATTAACAATAAACAAGAACAGTTTATTGACTAGCTAGATTTTTGTATTGATCAATTAATATCTTTTGGTTTATCCAAAAGGTCCTTTATTTATATAAAATAATTTATAGCTAAGTTATTACAATGTGGGATATATTATATATGTCAGATAAATATGATATAGCGAATAATGTTGATATAACTGAGAACTCTGCTATCTCTACAATCTATGTTGAGTCACATGATCAAAATTAAGAAATTAAGAAATTAAGAATAATTCCAGATCGTAACAGTGCATATTTGAAAGGATCTACTAAAATATAGTTAGCTAGTAAAAAAGCCTTAGTAGCAGATTGGTCAACTCAATGGAATTCAAATGATCCTGCCAGTCCACTAGATTTAGCAGCTTTCTTTACTTATCAATTCAAACAAAAATTTAGAACTATTGATAAGGTATATAAATGGCAACAACAATTGAACCAATAAAAACAATTACCAACTGAAACAGTAGAACAATATTCTGCTGCTATAAGAGAATTACTTTGTTGTATTGATCCAGATAATAGATATCCAGAACATCTGAAAGTAATGATGTTCATTGAAGGATTAAAGCCAGAAATAAAATTCTTTATTAGTCCAACTTGACCAGCTACTCTAGATGATGCTATCCATACTGCTCAATTATATGGATCAAGCTATCAACAATTCACTGATTTAAATAATATTAATACGACATCAACAACAAGCCTATTGAATATTCTAGTAATTCAACAGTCAATAGAGAATAATTTAAATCAAGTCTTACAACAACTTGCAGCTTTGGCAACAAAATTAGAAAATTTTACAATTTTTAATAACCAAAATCAAAATCACCAAAATAACAGATATAATAATAATAATAGTAAAAATTATTCAAATAACCAATGAAGAAATAATTATAATAATAATTATAATAACAATAATAATAATAACTTACCTATCGCTTGTTATAACTGTGGTAAAATTGGACACATCACAGCAAAATACTTTAGCAAGAAAGATAATAATTATAATCAGCGCAATAATAATTATAACAACAATCGATATCCAAACAAAGATAATAATAATCGACAAGATAATAATAATCGAAACAATAACCAAAATAACAATCGACAAAAGATCTTCTTAAATACTAAACAGCCTTTAAACTCCTAAATGCATTTTCAGAAGGTGAACATGCATCAGCAAATAAAAATCCTTCAAACAAATAATTTTTAGAACAATTATTGATTAATAATAAACAGGAAAATAATTATAAAATACCTGTTAATGCTTTATACTATAATGGAAAAGTAGGAAATAAAGATATTACAATCATAATTAATAATGAAGCTATTAGTAATCTTGTATCCAAGGCATGTTTAAATAAAATCAATTGGAAAATTCAAAAGCCAAGCAATATCAATTTAATTGGAATTAATGGAAATAAAGAACAATCACTTGGAAAAGTTATAGACCTACCAATAACTTTAGGAAATCAAAATCTGAACATTAATGCACTAGTAACTGAAAAAGGAGATTATGATCTCTTATTAGGAAATATTTGGGCTCATAA